TCATGGAGCAATGTTACCTTCCCACTGAAGTGGTACCTATTTCTCTGCTTGCACTTGCATGCTTTCGAACTGCTAGGTGGACAGCAGCTGGGACCAGGATGGGAGCTCACCCCATCACGTGGCAGTCAGTCTTGAACCTGGACTGCCGGCTTTCCAGCCGACAAGCCCAGCATCTTAACCACTGGGCCAACATGTTCCCCTTGGATGTATATAAAGAGACATAAATGATAGTTGCTTATCTCACAAATGGCAACTCAATTCAGACTGCAGAAAGCATGGAGGAGATTCAAAGTCTTCTCAGAGACTCCGCCTTAATAAATTTACCAACAAATGAGGATTGGGGTTTCTAATACTATACTTTAGCCCTAATCCTTGTATTAACATACAAACATTCCTGACATCTGTATAATTCTTGCTTTCCTTAGCGTGCCCCACAGTAAAAGGCTTGAGATTAATTTAAACATGTCTCACCAGAACAAGAGGCTGCTTAAAATGATGTACAGAATTAATGAGGCACGAACATTACGTTCAAAGAAACTAAATGCTTTGTTAAGCAGATAAAACATTTTGCTGGAAGTTCAAAAATAAGGCGATTCCTGAATAGGCTTCTCTCAGATGATAGCTTTGTCACCGTGTCCTCCTATTAGCATTCTATAAAATGTTTGTGTTCTTTCTCGGATATTTTTTTCCACTACATTAAATCCTTCTTCATGTGTGTAATATTGTTGGTATACTCTTGCCTACAGTAGTCCATTGGGTAATTTTCTTCTTGGCTCCAGTGACTTTTTCATTACTATATTATAATAGCCAGAATATATGTAATCTTATGTACTGTAACGATACATTGTTTTGACTGTTTTTTGCTTAAATTAAATATTAGGACTCACCTGAGAAAGGTCTTGCAGACCAACAGAGATAACCAATGAGATGGCCAGATCACAGAGTTTACTCTACACCACGCAAAACTGTTTCTGGGTCCTTCCTGTTTGATCCCAACAGGAAGTCATCTGTGTAGCAACATCATTCATGAGTGTACAGGAAACAAGAGACACTTGTCATTCTTATCTGTCTGCAGTTTCTCCCACCTACTTTTTTCTTCTCCCTTCTTGTAGCTACTGATTTATAGTAATAATGAAGACCATGGATTCCCCAACCATTATACAACTTTGAAACTGCCAAACTTGTCTATGTTGGAAAAAATTTCTATAGAAAATTTGGATTTTGAAAATGTTTTGACTGAATAGTGACTTTCTCCAAATATCAAGAAGTGGGCTGAGGATTTAATAACTGTCCTTACAATTCAGCTACTGATTATTACATGCACTGTCACAAATATTTTCAGTATAATCCAAAAAAGAACTCAAAATTCAAATCTTTGAATTTAAAGAATTCAAAACAGAAATGTTCTACCTAGCACACACAGCGGTTTTGAAGTTTTTTTTTTTTTTGAAAAATAACTCCTCAAAAATGTAGTGTTAGTATAAATCATCAGTACAACATTCATTCCTCTTGTTCCTACTAGTAATGTATTACAATCAATCTCAGTGTTGCTTCAGAGGGGCAAACGAGAGAAAATGTGAAAGGGAAATTGCTCATCTCAAAGCATTCGTATTCTTCCAGAAATTACTTGCTTCCTCTTTAAGAACTAGCTCTTAAACCAACGTCCTACTTAATTGCATTTCTTCTCTTCTCTTCTCTATGGATGCATATAAAATTAAAAAAAGGACGATTTACAAGGATTAACCCAGAAAACATGCAAATTATGCAAATATCCATTAGAAATGCCATTTAAGCAGTATAAAGCAGTTTATACAGCAGTGTAAACTAAGACTTCTAATAATAGAGGCCTAAATCCAGCAGTATAAACCATCTGTGAGATACAGTCTGACAGATAAAGCATGATCTGTCCAAGGAACTGCTCTTTGTCTTCACAGAAGCAAGAGCACTTTTCTAAAACTATCACTGCCATCACAACAAAAACAGAAGCAATAACTCCAGGGTCCCCAACTAGATTGTATCCGGTTAGGAACTGGGTCGCACACCTGGAGGTGAATTGTAGGTTTTATGTCCTGGGCCTGCTGAGTCATTCAGCAGGTGCAGGAGGCTGCAGAGAGGCCAGGGCAGATATGTGAATGCTTGGGACCAGACAGGCTGTCTCCCACCTTGTGTGCATGCTCAAGGCGGGAGAAATGCCTTGAATTGATTGGCTGATGCTGTCCCTGCAAAGGGGTATAAGAGCAATTCGCGCCATTTTGTTTTTTTTTGGTTCTGTTGTGAATGGAATAAAGACAAGACTGTTTGTTACTCCTGCTCGTCTCAATGCCTCTTACTTGGAAACAGAACAGTAGGCGAGCGAACAAAAGTGAAACCATCCCCCCCCCCCAAGCCCATGGAAACATTTTCTTCAATGAAACCAGTTCCTGGTGCCAAAAAGGTTGGGGACTGGTGAAATAATTTAATTTGCCACTATGCTTTTTTGCCACACGTTGTGGGCTAGGGTTAATCAAATCAGAGTTTTATTCCAATAGAGGAGAATATCTGTAGCTCAGGGTTGAAATGAGGGGTCCTTGGTGTTCTCTGAGCCTGGTTGTTTTCTTGCAGACGTTTCACTACCCAAACTAGGTAACACCATCAGTGCTGGTAGGGAACAGAATGAGAGCAAACCCCACTCCCTACCAGCACTGATGATATTACCTAATTTGGGTAATGAAATGTCTGCAATAATCAAGCTCAGGAAGCAATAAGGAGTTTGTTCATCTCTCTCTTCTTTCTCTAAAGCTTACAACTTAATTTCTAATCAAATAGCTCTTATTTATTTCTTGGGTCAGCCCACATCTTTGAAGGAAATCTTTTTGATTACTCTGAGTGGTTGGGACATTATTAAGAATGAGACATCATTGAATTCCAACTAATAATAGATAGACTATCAGCAGTGAAAGGTCTTACCGAGACCATAGCCTTTGCATGACTTTGTATGAGCTATCCTATGCCTTACTGCTAATTATTGGAGAACTCTTTAAAAGTATAGGATGCTTCTTCACTATGGCCCTTTTGCAATATGCATAATAAAACATTTACAAATTTAGGATATGTCTGGTATAGTGGAAAACAGGAGATCCATTCTTCCCTTGAGCACAGTTGAGTGACTTTGGGACAGTCATTCTTTGGCAGTCCAACCCACCACACAGGATAGTTATGATGAAGAAAAAAGGAGGCATGAGCATTAGGTGTGTTGCTTTTAACTGTACAAAATAAACATGGGACATATCCGTCCATCCATCCATCCATCCATCCATATTTCATGTTTCTGACTGGATCAACAAAGGAAATCCCTCCACAATTGTTACAACTACTCAGATAAACAATACAAATTTCAGGAAGGAGTAAATGTCAGAGATACATGTATTGATTTGTTTCTCTTTGCTTAATTTCTATTCTCAAACTGAAAGTAAGAGAAGATGCACGCTATAAAACTACTGCTGGAGGAGGAAGCTGGCAATCCAACCACCACACAGATACTGCCAGGACGTAATGACAAAATTAACCAGGCTGCTACTTACTGGCACCACAGGGTAATACTATAAATAACATTCTAAAATGTACAATCCTACCATCTGGATCTTTTTAAAATGGCAGCAGTGCTGCAATTGGACTTGGTTCTAAATAAAATAGCAGAATGTAGAAAAACCATATTATTCTTGGGTTTGATATAAATCAAAATATGGTAAATCAACATATGTTTCTGTTGTGGTGCTTGCCTTCTAGAATGAGTTTCATGAAGATTTGGATAGCCTCCCCAACTTTAGAGTGTAGGGTAGATGCTAGCAGAGTTTGATATATATGCTGTATATGTGGTAATGTGCTCTGGATTGCTGTTCTGTTATTTCCCTTATTGTATCCTGTATTTACAGTACTGTATTTGCATTCTGTTTTCATATGTGAGCTGCCTACAGTTGCTCTGTCACTGAAGAAATAAAGAAGTATATATAACAGAAAGAAGCTGAAATCCAAGTGTATATATTCAATACTCATTTTACATGACAGAATGTAAGTTCCAAGTTCTGATGACAGAACTGGTGGCTTAATTACTGCCCTTTTTTGCAACTTTGTTTTCTGTCTTCCTCTGCAACAAATTATTATTTTTATTATTATTTTTAAAATTTATAAGCCGCCCCACTCCCGATGGACTCTGGACGGCTAACAATAAAAAACACATAAAACATAACAAAACAACAATACAAAAACAATCATCCAGGGGTAAGGTTTTATAAACCCCAGGCCTGCCGGAAAAGCCAGGTCTTAAGTAGCTTACGGAAGACCAACAGGGTGGGAGCGGTCCTCATCTCCGGGGGGAGCTGATTCCAAAGCGTGGGCGCCATCACAGAGAAGGCCCTGCTCCGCGGCCCCGCCAAATGGCACTGCTTGGCCAACAGGGCCTGAAGGAGGCCCAGCCTGTGGGATCTAACCAGACGTAGGGAACTATGAGGTAGTAGACAGTCTCGCAAATAGCCTGGCACTGAGCCATATAGGGCTTTAAAGGTAATGACCAACACGTTGAATTGGACCCGGAGACCAATAGGCAACCAGTGCAGCTCACGGAGGATAGGTGTAACGTGGGTGTATCGAGGAGCACCCACTATCACTCGCGCAGCTGCATTCTGGACCAACTGTAGTCTCCGAATACTTTTCAAGGGTAGCCCCATGTAGAACGTGTTGCAGTAGTCCAAACGTGAGGTGACAAGGGCGTGAGTGACTGTAAGGAGAGCCTCCCGGTCCAGGTAGGGTCGCAACTGGTGCAACAGGCGAACTTGTGCAAAGGTCCTCCCAGCCACAAACCAATGGATCTTTGCAATTCATTTGTTTATATACACCACACAACTGACAAAATTAAAAAAAAGTACTGGAATTTCAATTTTAAAGTTTCCATTTTTAAAATACCATTAAAAGATTCTAGGAGAAAACCATTCAAAGGTACAATTCTTAGACATGGATAAACTTACCTACACTAGTTGGAAATATGTCCTCGTTGTTGATCTGCACCTCAATCCAGTCCATCAAAAGATTCATATACTGGGGCGCTGGTAATGCTGTAGGTTTCTTGTACTTTAGGTCATCCTGCCACCGGTATTCATACTTAGGCCCACCTGACATCACCGGGCAGGTTCTCTCTGTGCAGAACTCACAGATAGTTCCATAAATCAGGTTGATCCTGTTGAAAAAGTCAACTACGTGAACAGCAACCCAATCGCTTAGATCTTCTCCAGTGGGCAGCTGCACAGCTGCCTTCAGGTCCACTCCAGAGTTGAGTGAGGCTTGTGCTCGGTTGTGAAGCTCAAACCTCTGGGTCCCAGGTTCAAATTTCCGTTTGGGGCGGAACGTCTTGTCCTTATTAAAAACTTGCTTGAGTGCAATGGACATGTCTTCTAACTTCCAAACTCCAACAACACTGAGGCACTAGAATAATGGTATTCTTATATATAGATATATAACTATATATATTTCCAGAGGGAGGGGATTTCTCCAAGAGAAATCCTTAGATTGCTAGGTGTCCTGATTTGACGTTTTCTTAGATAATGTCATATTCCTAAAAATTCAAAGAGAAAAAAAATAACAACAAACTACAGGTCAGTGCTAAAAATGACTCCTGACAATTTACTAGAATTTGTTTTATTTGAAGGCCAAAGTAGTTAAAGTGCTAGTATTTAACTCATGATTGTAAAGCTCTGAACAAATCACAATTTTATTTATCAATAAAGTTGCTTTGCATATATCAAAATATACAGTTTTACAGGGATTTATACTGTTAAGCAATAATGCCATTTAACAATAATGTTAAATTGGCAAGAAAATGGCTCCTGTGTTTTAATTTTCCCCAGTAGAAACACAGTCACACCGATGCACATATAAGCACTTTGAAAATTTCACAACAGGAACATTTTTATTCCATTCCATCTGCAGTTAGAGTCAACATCCAGTTACTACTAATCTTAATATCTGAAAGGGAAAGTTGGAGACGTTAAAAGGAACAGGGCAAAATGCTTGAAAAAAACGGATTCCTGTCCTCAGTAGTTTCTCACATTGTAGCATGAAAAAAAAGGTGAAAAAAGAAGACAGCTTTATCTATTTCAGCCCCAATTGTTTGCTGTTCTCTTGGATGGTTCTTGTTTTATCTATGGTTACAAGAAGTCTTTGGCTTATAACCATTTGTTTAGTGACAGTTCAAAGTTACACGGGCCCTGAAAAAAGTGACTTAAGACCAGTTTTCACACTTACGGCCGTTGCAGCATCTCCATGATCATGTGATCAAAATTCGGGCGATTGGCAACTGGCATGTATGTATAACAGTTGCACTGTCCCAGGGTCATGTGATCACCATTTGCGATCTTCTTAGCTGGCTTCTGACAAGCAAAGTTAATGAAGTAAGCCAGATTTACTTAATGACCACATGATTCACTTAACCCCTGTAGTGATTTGCTTAACTGCAGGAAAAAAGGCTGTAAAATCAGGCAAAATTTGCGTTAACAGCCACCTTGCTTAGCAACAGAAATTTGGGGTTGAATTGTGGTTGTAAGTCAAGAGATACCTGTATTATTTTTTGCTGGTTTAAACTTTGTCAATTTGTTTGGGAATTGGATAGCCTAAAATTTTAATAAGAGATAAGTCCAAATCAGTCTTTACTATGCTTCAATGACACTTTTTTTAATAGGGAGGAAGAATGATCTGTTTTTCACTTTAATAGTTTCCAATCATGATTTGAACTTTGGATTTCCCCTGCTGGAGAAGTGTAAAAAAGGGAAAGATAAATACTCAAAATCTTTAACTGTAGTGCTAGGGAGCATCTGTATGGAATTACTTCAATATCTACATTAAGGAAAAAGTAAGTGGTAATACAAGGAAATATTCTGACATCATCAGATTCTTGGTGGTTTACTTACCAAGTATAGCTTAGTAATTTCATTTGTGGCACTTAACGGGCTTATTTATTTATTAAATTATGCCTGATCTGTGGTTTGGTTTTAGAAAGAACACCAATATTTGTGTGTGTGTGTGTGTGTGTGTGTGTGTAGCTATTGTTTTATATTGTCATTATGTACAACTTGAAATATTATGCTAATTGCGGTTTTAATCAATTGGTTGTTTATTTTGCATTGTATTTCTTATTGTTTTCTCTGGAAAGCGAAAGACAGTTGAAAAGACAAGACACTTAATAATAACAGCAATCACAATTTTAATGCATTAATTCTGGAGACGTTGTTTTGAAGTTTTTTTGCTGTCCCTTGGGATATAAATCAGTTGACTCATCAAAATTTATAGTTCACCAACCACAAAGAATATAATTGAAGACAGAGCTGTGAAAATAGTAGATGACAACTAGTAAATGAAAAAAATTATCTTTTCTCCCCCCTTTCCATTTAAGGAAACTGAAGGGAAAACATGCACATACTCACACGCACACAAACCATTTGACTTTCACGGGATTCTGAGATCATTCCAAACCTCTTTCTAATGATAGTATTTTTTTTAAAAAAAGGCAAGCCTGTTTTGTAAATATCACTATTTTTTCTTCCTTTCTTCTCTATATAAACTGAGATCCTGCCATTTTCTATAAACTTGTTTCTTATAATTTATAGAATTTAGTAGAAAATAGATGCTACTGCAACCCAAATTCTAGATGTTCTGCAATCAACTAGATTTATTACACTTGACCTTACACATACAGACTTCCTATTGGCTATGTTAGTTCATAAAACACCTTATATATTTAGCCTCAGAAAGGATATAGTACGTGTTAACATAGTTCCAAAGGAAATCCATGTACCCTGGGGTCAAGCAGTTTTACCAGCAATTAAATAATAAGTTTTGTTGATTTTCATTCTCACCTCAAGATGTTGTCATGACTTTTCCCCTCCTATTAATCATAATATCACTATTTAGATAGGCTAGACAGTCCCAAAGGAAGAGCAGCAAAATGCCAACAATAGATCATAGCAAAATTGTAGAATCTGTCTTAAGCAGCAGTTCAGGAAGATAAGTTACTTATTAGTTCAAAAGTCCAATGTAATTGAAGCTCACTGGTGTGTTCTGTCGTATTGAGACTAAAAGGACTTGAATGCAAAATTAATCATTAGATCCCTAAAAGAATGACAAATTCATGTGAAATGAGACATTGACATTTAAAAAAACCAATTGAGAAAGGATGTGTGTAGATCTGTTTTCTACCATTATTAGAATACTGGCCATCAAATATTGTTCATCTATCATTCTGGCCATCAAATGTTGTTCATCTATCGTTCTGGCCATCAAATATTGTTCATCTATCGATTCCTTGATGCTACTTCAGGCAGATGCTGCAATCTCAAAGCCGAGTAACAACAGCAAAATTGCCTATGGTTAAATGGCTAGTACTTTGAGATGACAAAAATTCTCATGAAATATAATGGGAAGTTTGCACAGGTGCTATGGATACCAAGGGTAATTCTATCACAGCTTCTTTTAAAATTCAGCAGTCCTTAGATGACTAGATTTTCTTCTAGAAACATGTAAAGTGGAAGATTATGACTAAGCTTAGCTTCCTTCATAGCCTTTTTCAGGTTAGGGTTTCTGTTTTTATTGCTGCTGCCAGATCCTTAAATTTCCTCCAGTATCAGAGAGTGGTTTCCTAAAAAAAACCCACTTTGGAGTAATGGTGAAAGTGTTGGCCTTGAAACCAGGATATTATGAATTCTTGTCCTGACTTAGGCATGAAAGCTGGCTGGTTGACTATAAGCCAACCACACTCTTTCAGCCCAAAATACTTGTGAGGAGAAAGGAGTATTAGATATGTTTGCCACCTTGAGTTACTTATCAAGTAATAAAGATGGGATAAAAATCGAATAAATAAAAGTGAATAAATAGGCCACAAAATGAAGGAATGGGACAAAGGAGGAATCCAATCCAATTTTACTACTCTTTATTTTACTTATGGATTTCCAAAGATAAAAATAATGTGGCTAGAAACTCTGATAATATCTTATGTGTACCCAAAAATAATAAATGAAACCATATGGTTTTTACTATGACACTGCATGCGACCATATAGAGCTTTTTACATATTTTTCATGCAATCATATGAACATTTAACCAGATAAAAATATCTGTTACGGAAGGAAAAGACACCAACAGTATATTACCTCATCCTTCCCAAAAGGGGGGAAAAGCATAGCCATTGTGTACTTCTGACTGCAACAATTATTTAGAGTTCTACAGATGCTGCTATATTAGCACTTGACCTTTGTTTCATGCTTATTAACAATTAGACAACCTCTCTTGTGTCTGGACTGAATACTCTAAGGCCACAAGTGACACAGTTACCCGAGGCTATGGGAACTGTGAAACAATCTGTGTCATTATTTCAAAAAGTGCTTGTATAAGCTGGTACCTCCTTCCACTAACAGGAAAAACCAACTATTTTGACAACACATTGTTTGTGGAATTGCCTATGCCAATTCTGAGAGGCAGAAATGCTTTATATTGGTTTGGTTCTTTATCTTGTTCAAATTCCACTTACTGGATCAGGAACAAATCTCCTATTTCAGGATACAACTTTACCCTGCCCTGCCAAAAGATTTTATACCCAAATACTTTTTAACCCTTGACTCTTCATCTTTAAATCCAACTTGTGTCACTTAAAGCATGAATAATAATTGCTGATAAAAAAGGAAAACATCACATTATAATACACATCTCATTGGTATCTTTTCAATATTTAAATTTTATTGTGCTTTATTGATCTAGGTCAGACATGTCAAACTTGCGATGTCATGTGATGTCGCGCAATGTATCGGAACAGTTTTGCCATTGCCGGCAATGGGGTGGGTGCAGCTTCCGCATGATGCGCCTGGCCTGCAGGCCGGCAGTTTGACACCCCTGATCTAGGTGAAATGTTACTATATATTGCAAGTCCATGTATGATATGACATACCCTAAATAAATAAAATAAATAACACATCTCAACAACTCTGAAACGTGCTCAGAATACATTAAATGTACTATAAATATACATAATAATGTAAGACAGGGGTCTTCAAACTTGGCTCTTTTATGACTTGTGGACTTCAACTGGCTGAGGAATTCTGGGAGTTGAAATCCACAAGTCATAAAAGGGCCAAGTTTGAAGACCCCTGATGTAAGATTTAGAAAAAAGAAGACTTGAATTCCAAGGGAGAAACAATCCAATAGTAGCATGCTTACTCCTAGCAAATATTTACCATATCTATAATTATTTCTTTAGCAATATTTGTGTTAATTTCTATAAAAGGATTAACAAATGAGAAATTCAACAACTGATCGGCAATTCATTTTAAATTCAAGTCCAAATACTCATAAGACAAAGAATGGAATTCGTTAAAAAGTAGTTTCCTATAAAATGTGTAGCCCACGCTAAATAAACTTAAAAGTGAAATATAGGAAGGTGAAGTAAATATAATGTATCATATTTTCATATGTTGTAATATGCTGCAATGAATCCTTGATATAGTAGAAAGACTGGGTAATTTCTGATAAAAATGTCAAGAGGCAACTTCAGGCATTTCATACATGGAGCCC